TCTCTTATGCTGTGGAGAGAGTACTGAAATCTATTCCTTGTCTTAGCACTTTAGGTATTTTATAATTAAGATACTATATAATCGAATATGATAATACTTGTTTTAGCAACACTAATTCTTCTATGGAACCACTGCTGGTGTGAAGACATTTCTCATTGCTTTGTGTTTCACTTTCAGACAAAGACAAGACTTTTTTTGATGAGTAGCAAATATCCAGCCAAGTGGATGAATCCATTTTCCACCTCCCCAGACCATTTCTGTGACAGCCTCAGAATTTCTCTCAGATTTTAACAACTAAAGTTAATGTATTTGCTGAATTTAGGAGTACGAGACTTCTTGGTTGTTAGCCATAAATTAATACCATCCACCGGGCTGTAATAACATATAACTTGGTTTTAAACTATGAATATTAAACCTGTAAAATAAGGGTACTGTTATGAAGGCCATCCCCTGATGAAAAATGAGTATCACATGGTCCATTATCAAGCTTTTAAGAGGAAGTATTGTTAAAACTATTTCCCCAATATTTCCTCTAGAAACATTAAAAAAGAAAAAGCAGAAGAAAGAAAGAACAAACATTAAAAAAAGAACTTTCCCTAAGAATACTTTGTCTTCTGAGTTCATTTTATGGGTGTTTTATTATTATTATTACAAAGCTTTTTCATATATTGATACTTCATAGGGATCATAATAGTTTTACCTGTATCATAAAAGTTATCTTCTGAAATCTTTGTGGCATTGAGATTGGGGTGATTTAAATACAGATTTTAATGTCAGAAAGCATTCCTGTCTAACAATTTTTTAAGTCATGTTAATTTCAATATTAAGTAATTATTCCCTGAAGCTTTTCACACATAGCACTTAGCATACATATTTCAGTATGTATTATATATATTTTAGTTACTAGTTTGCTCTACTTATTGGCCTGAAAAAACAAGACATTGGAAGTACAAATAATACTCGTTTGCCATGATGGTTATTTGCTTATAAATAGTTAAAATGTTACTAGTAGTGATACAATACTTGGTTTGTATTTTTAATGGCATTTAAAGGTTTTCCCTCAGTTACAATATAATATTCATGGGGAGAAGTTCGGGAAAATACAGCAAAAGTATTAAGAAAAAAATACCATTATTTAAAAGCATCACTTGAATGCTGTTTTGCTCTGTCTCTTCCTGCCTCTGTTTTTCTGTTTCTCCAACTCTAAGTATGGATATATGTATGCACACAGCAAAACACAAATTTAAGGTCTAAAGAAGATACTGCTTAATATTTTCTTGGTCTCAGAGGGAATGAAAGGTTTATAGTAAGTCTAAAACAAAAAGGTGAAACCATGTTAAAAATACAAAACCGATTTGACTACATTTTTAAAAAATGAAGTAAAATTAAAAGGACAAGCTGGGAAAACATTTCTTACTATATCAGTCTGTTTCAGTTTCCTTGTTTCTTGTTAGAAGTTGGAAATGGATTATACCTATACTTTACTTTTCCTCTTGGTATATATATAGTTTGTCTTAGCAAAGCAAGTTCTTGAGCTTTTGACATGAAAAATGTCAGAGCTAGGTTTTTTTCTTGTCTGTTATTGTAGTGATTATTCTTAAGGTGAGATTAGAAGCAATGACCATCTAGAAGTAAAAGCCCCATTTTTGTTTTTACTTTCAACCAATTTTACCTCTAAAACGTGTACCCAAACTGTTATCATTAAGTAAAATAACTGATATTTTGTCAGTAGTGACTGGCGAAATAAGCATAAAATGAGGAATAAAGAGGAGTGCTAAAATGAACATAGTAATTTGCAAATGGTAATCAACCCTTGACTAGTTGAGCATTGGCTGTGTTCACACAGCCATAAAAACGTGTACAGAACGTGAGGCTGGTAACTTTTAGCAGTTGGCATTAAAGAGCCAGTGTGGTGGTTCTGGGCTGCGTAGAGTTAAGTACGTTCCTTGGGGCCTCACTCAGTCTTGCCCTACCTGTTGCTGGGGTGTTGTGAAGAGCAAATGTCAAAGTATGTAAAAGCACTTTGTAAGCAGTCAACAGTTGTACAAATATGAAGGATATTAATTGTAGATTTTATCCTTATGAAGAGCAATGGTTCAATATTGCTGTAAGGTAAAATCTTCAGAACATGAGCAGCAGTTTATATTCCTCACTCTTCCGTCATTCCCTTGTAATTTCCTATAATTTTGTTTACAGAACAAATCCTAAACCTTTTTCTAAACGTGTTTTTACAAAACTGATGAGAGAGCCCCCTCTAGTGTCTGAAGTATCCAGTCATAAAAAAATTTGTGTCAATCATAGAAAGTTTTAGGAGTCAAACTAGTTTTTTTCTTTCACATCTGGACTTTTTTTTTTTTAGGGGGGAGGAAGGGTTATTTTCCTTTTTTAAAAAGGTCACTGGAATTATGGGTAGACGTGGACTGTGAGGGCAGCAGAAAACATGGGAAAGGATCAAATCCCAGTTTACCTTTTTAGAAAGTTATTTTTAAATGACCTGGAATAAGGCCAAACTATACAGTGTTTTGTTTTGTTTTAGGAATTAAGTGCAGTTTAAAAATATATTTTGTTTTGGAGTTCTTTATGCCATCAAACCTCATTTTAAGGGAGTTCTTTCCACTTTTTGAAAGCAATCATTTCTTTGGAAAATTGCTTTAAAATAGAGACTGATTCCCTTCTTTGTGGAAGTGTTCTTTGTTTTCTTTGTTATTATTACTGCCATATCTTTCTGTGGATATTTTATGACTATATTGTGGGTGTATTCTAATGGCAAGTTGGTATTTTACATAATTCCCCTTGTTTTTAACCAAGGAAATAAGGAGATTCTTAAATTACTGACTTTGTGCATGCAACCTCTTCCTCTAAACACACAGCACTCAAAAACACAGGCCTTCAGCTAAGAATTTTGTGAAGGGTTTAGGGAAACCCTCTCTCACTTGACCCATGGGCTTTTGTAGTTTGACAAGGAAAGTAGTGTTCTGAAAGCTACTACATTTAGGAAAGCTCTAGCAAAAATATTTCATATATGTGGACCAGAGATTAACTCCTTTCATCTTGTTCTCCAACAAGTTAAACAGTGCAAAAAGACCTCAAACAGTGCAAAAAGATCTTAAGTGCATTCTTGGTAATGAAATGCTTGGGTGAATTATAATCCTAATTGCTATTGTTCATTCCCACAGCTGCATTTTGACACTTCTAACTGCCTAAGCCACGCATTTTTCAGCCTCTAGGATAAACAAAAGCATTCTGAAATCCATCATTTTGCAGTATCTTAAATTGCAAATCTGCCATTGGCTGCCTTTATTTTATTTTGGTTTTGTTGACAAAATAAGGGAGAAAATATTATTCCTTTGTATTTATACATAAAATTATTTTCAGTAGGATCACTGCTGGATTTTTATGAAAATTCACTCATTAATGCTCTTTAATTTTGAATGAGGCAGTTGAGATTATGGAGTTATTTTAGTCTGAGGGAAATAATTTGTATGTGTTTGTATTATCAAACTTGTTGATATTTTAGGAGGCAGTTTTCTCCAAGATTTGAAAACATTAATAGGATTTTGCTTTTCTTTCTTAGTAGAACAGTATTCTGAATGTAAATCTTAGAAGCTAGATTTATTGTATGATTTGGCAAGTCATATTTATATGTATAATGGATCCTTTAAAATATGATCCAAAACTATTAGTCTCTTCCTTATACGTAAAGAAATTAAAGTATTTGCAGTAAGAAAGAGATTTGTGTGCCAATTACAACTAAACCTTCCTTATTTAAAAAATAGAACTTTTGATGACTGAAAAACTGTACAGCAAAAGTGGGATATATGTAAGTAATAGCTACCAAATTCTGATTTTTCGCTATTCCTAAGACTTAACTTTAAGTTAAGATTTGAATTTCTATATTCAGAGGCATCTGTTTTAACAATTATTTAGTAATGATTAGATCGTTAGATGTCAAATGAATGCTGCTATAATATGTCACATTATTCATTAAAATGTTTTTGAATTCTTAAAATCCATATAAACATGAGAAATTTTGTTTTAACCATTTTGCCATCTCATGTCTTAATTTTAAGGTATTCTTTTCAAAGTTATTTTTCTTATAAAAATATTACTTAATTTAAAATTCTAGTAAGTGATTATTATATCCAGTAGTAATAACAGCTAACATTTATTGAGTGAGCACTTCCCATATTTCAGACACTATGCTAACAAGTGCCATTTGATATGCTACCCTGTGTTGTAATCTTCTTACTTATTCCCATTTTACATTGAAGGAAACTGAGATTAAGAGAATTTAAACAATTTTGCCAGAAGTCACTAAGTAATTAGAATCCGAACTTTCTGACTCCTGGAACCCATGTTCTTGACCACTGCTGAAGTGTTAAATTAAATACATTATTATATAGTCTTCTAATGGAATATTATATAGCCATTAAAAGTGAGGCTTAGAGTGGCCATATAGTAACATGGAAAAATGTATGTAAGTGGAAAGACACAAACAGATTACAGTCAAATGTTCATACTGGTTCTAAACATATTCAGAGTGTTATCTTCAGTTTTTCATAGATTCTTTAAATACATTATAAATAATATTAAGCTTTCATATAATTTTCCTGATTACAGAATTTCTAAAGGAAATACAAAACTTCATTTAAACACAAGTCTGGTCAGGAAACTGACATCTTAATTTTATAATAGACTCTAGCATGTTCAATTTCCTTTCTAATTTGACCCAAAGCCACTTTTTACTGGACTCATGCCAGCTGTAATGTAATCCTGCATCTGTGTTCTTGAAGGTTAATGGAAGAGTAATGTCTTAAAGATAACTTTAAGTGTGTTATATAGTGTCCTTGAGGTAGGTTGTGCACAAAAGATATTTTCTTTCCAACCCTGTAGAGGTATCTCATTAGGACACCCAGTAGTGTCATTATTAAGTTTTCATGTGTTTCTCAGTTTTGATGCTAATCTTTGTGTGTATGTGTGTGCGTTTTTTTTCTCTGCAGCACCAATGTGGTTATGAATTATTCAGAGATTGAGTCTAAGGTTCGAGAAGCAACAAATGATGATCCTTGGGGACCTTCTGGGCAACTCATGGGAGAGATTGCCAAGTAAGTGATAATTTGACTCAGCAGTGCAGAAAGAATCCAACTACCTTTACATAGAAATGTAAAATTTGCTTTTGCTTTCAAACTGTTTGGCTGCCAGCTTAAAGTTTTGCATAATCATTCAGATATTAATAAAGAAAGTTTTTTGCAGGGTCCATTCCCCTTCAAAAATTCACTCAAAAACATAAAACTTTTTTTAACGAGTTTTAGAGACTTTTACTGTAGCTTACCATGTAAAATTTTCACAAATGTGTATAAAGTAAACATGAAATAAAAACTTCTGAAGTTTTTTTCCTGATAAGCATGTGGAGCACTATGCCCCTGAATGAAGAGCTTGTAAAATACAGTTTTAATTAGTGAGGCTTACACAAGTGCTAGATATTAAACAAAATCTAACAGATACATTTTTAAGGAAGCATATCATATAAATGTTTTGAATTAAGCTTATTAATTTTTTTAAGCTCTTTGGGAAAACATCAGTAATTTAGAACAAGTCTGCCACCTACTGTCAAAATTAACATACTGCAAACGAGGAAAATTATTCTTTTTTCAGGGCTACATTTATGTATGAACAATTCCCAGAACTTATGAACATGCTTTGGTCACGAATGTTAAAAGACAACAAAAAAAACTGGAGAAGAGTTTATAAGGTATGGCTATTAGTCTGTTTTTATTATTTGACATGTTGAAAACAAATAATTGGAATTTTAAGGTATACATATATAAGTGATAATGAAGGATATTAAATCCTAGAATAGAGTGTTCTGAAACAGGTAAAAGAATTAGATGTGCTCTTTGTGTTCCGTTTTCTTTTCACCATAAACAACAATTCTTAATATGAGATGTTTGAACTTAATAATAACAATTGTAAATGATGATTTTATTAAGATTTTTCCTAATAAAAATGTGCACATGAAAAGTAATGAATCTGTAATAGCATGTATGTTTAGCTATGAACAATTAAAATGAAAACTATAGTCTAATATGGTTTGTCATATTACCAGGTATTCTGCACCAAAAATATGTTAGTTTAAAAAATAATTAAGTGATTCTATTCTAACACATTGAAATCCTAATTTATAAAGTTTTAAATTTTGTACTCTATCAGATTCATTTAGCTCTGATCTCATCGTACAGTACTTTATTCTGAAACAAAGCAGTTACTTGTTTTTCCATCCCCACCATATTTTCTTGCTACTCAGAATCTTAAGTTTTTCAATGCCTTCCAAAATGGCATATATAATACTCACATTTGAAACTCTGAAAACAATGTTTCAGGCTGTCAGGATTGAAAATCAGTGCTTATGTAGTTCTGTATTTTTTATGTTATTTGTTTCTGAAACATTCATTGTTATTCCCTCAGCTTGTATAGTAGTTGTGATGAATAGTTGGAATTTGTTTTTTATTAGCTTTGTTCTGTTTTGTTTAATACTTGTGTAAACTACTTTTTAAAAGACTAAGTTCCTAGTAGGATAGGGGTTTTTGTGCCTGAACGTGACCAACCTAACTAGTTTTTCAAAGATTAAATCATCTGTATGTGAGATTTATTCTAAGTATAGTGAACGTTCAAAATGCTTAATTCAGTGTTTTTAGTATATTCACAAAGTTGTGCAACAGTCCATACTAATACCAGAACATTTTCATCATCCAAAGAGAAATCTGAAACTGTTTTTTTTCTATTTGTTGATAGCAAATTTTTGAAACAGAAGTCACATCATCAACCACCCCCACCCCCTCACCCCAGTAAAATTTTGTCTGGATAAAATGCTATGGAATCCTAATTACCAAACAATTGTTCTCTTTAAACTGATGTGTGTAACAGTTCACATCCCATAATGTCCAAATAAAAAGTAAAAATTGAGCCAGCTTTCTAAAAGCTTAGTGTTCATTTATGTCATATATACCAGATATTTCTTAACATCAGACTTAACTTTTTTAATCATTTGACACATGATATCCAGTGAACAGTTTGTTTACTGTTGTTGGTATAAGAGGAATTTCAAATTGATAATGTGAGTTTTAGACTATTTATTTAAAGTCTAATCCAAGGTAAAGAAACTCCCCCTGCCCCACACATACATTAAAATTTATTTACTAATGTTGGAATTTTTTTAACCATTCACCAAAGCTCTACTGAAATTTATTTCATTAAATCATTTGGTGCTTTGTATTTTTACAGTCATTGCTGCTTCTAGCTTACCTCATAAGGAATGGATCAGAGCGTGTTGTTACAAGTGCCAGAGAACACATTTATGATTTGCGATCCCTGGAAAATTACCACTTTGTAGGTGAGCAGTAGAAAAACCTTATAAGCAAATTAAAACAGTAGTTGGAGTTGTCAGTCACCTGAACCAGCTTAGAAGTTTCTCTGCTCTAATTAGAATGTGACTATTGCTGGTTGTGTGACGAGTGCAGAATCCAAGACGTGGGGCCCTAGAGTATTAATTAGTGAAGACAAGAACTTGCAGAAAAGACTGGCTAATAACAACAGAACCAACACAACATGAGTGTTCGGGTTTATATTAAAATATGCACTGGAGACTGGTCCCCTGTGGTGTCCATAAAGGAATAGCTTTAATCATATGGGAAGAAAAGGTTAGAGCTCCAAAACACACACATCTGTTTGAAGCTGGGGTTTTTTTTTTTCCTCCCACCAAATAATATTTACTGTGCAAAGGCAGCAAAGCCAGAGTGTGTTTTGAATGTGAAAGAAGATACAAAATGAACCACATTTCATTTTGTAGTATACCCGAGTTGAAAGCACTTTAAACATTCAGTTTTTCAGCTACACTAAATCCTGGTAATTAGTGTTTTCAAACTTGCATTAGGGAAACCAAGGCTTTTGGGTGCTTTTCAGTCATTAAAATGTTAAAGTGGGGTTCTTTTTGTTGTTAAAATACTAGAGAAAAAGTAATATTTATGGATATACGTCCATTTCTTGGGGTCATCAGTAGTAATCCTTCTTAGTGAATCTTTAATTGCTCTTGCATGGCTCTGTTACCTGTGGTATTTTTTCATTGATCTTCACATGTTCTTATAAGCCAAAGTAGTATCTCAAGATTTAAAATTTGCTGATGAGGAAATGACAAAATTCAAGAGCAGAATTTGCCTCTTTTTATTAATTCTGAAAGATTGAAGTTAGTTTCTGGGGTTGAGATTTTCATGTCTGTTTTTTGTGTTAAAGGGTTTGATACATATTAACTGAATTCTTAAAGGTTTTGTTTTTCCCTTACAATACTCACAGATGAGCATGGCAAAGATCAAGGTATAAATATTCGCCAGAAAGTGAAAGAATTGGTTGAGTTTGCCCAGGATGACGACAGGCTTCGTGAAGAGCGAAAGAAAGCAAAGAAGAACAAAGACAAATATGTTGGGGTTTCCTCAGACAGTGTTGGAGGATTCAGATATAGTGAGTATTAGGCCAACTGGCACCTAAGGATCCGTTAGCTTTTTAGATGTACTTAAAGAATTGAAATACAAAAGAGCAAAATACTATTTTTCCTTTTTTTTCCCCAGAAATAGGTAGAATGCTGAATTATTTGTATTACTCATTGTGGCTCATATTACATGTATCTTAGGAAACTTCCTGTCTATTTTTTACTTTCATGGGCTCAAGAATATGATTTTAACCATTAATCATTAATTAAACGACTGCAGTCTTTCGAGTTCACACACAGAAAATAAATACCCTTATCTCTTGGGGTTACCATCCTAAAAAAGAAAAGATACTTCTCTCCCTCACCATTTAGAGCATAAAAATAAAAAGTTTGATCAAGAGATTCATCTTCCTAATTTGAAACCAATTGAGTTCTATTACATAGAAAGGCTTCCTATAAATTAGTCCAGCCCTGGTCTCTTCCCTTAATTAAGCACTGAATTAATTTGACATAGAAAAAGGTGACTGACAATACCATCAGTTTTTCATCTACGCCTATCACTATCACTTTATTGTTCCTAACACATTTAAAAGCAGCTAGAACATTGACCTCTCTTATTCACTTTTAATGTAATAATATAATTTCCCTAAAATAGATTGGTAGGTGCTTGAAAAAGATACAGAAAATAAGAACTCCTTTTTACAGAGTGTCCCTTTGGACTCATTCTGTCTTCTGTGAGATCTGACAGTCCCCGGGTCATTTTGCGCATACGCAGATAGGCCCGCGCAGTGTATATTTAGCAGCTGCATGTTGGTGTTCTCCAATTCCCCTCTCCCATATGTGAGTTTGTTTATATTTGATACTGAGATCTCAGAATTCCTTCATTGGAATCCTGTAAAAATCTATTTATTATCTTGTGATTACTTATAAAACCATACTTTTACTCCTTTACTCTTCTTGGCCTCAAAATATTGTATACTTAATTAGTTATTAAGGGATATTTATAACAGCAGAAAAATTCCTTTCTTTCATGTTTCTGCATCACATAAAAGTCAGTTCTGAACTAGGCAAAAATATTTCTCTTAAAAAACCATATTAAATGTTTTGGAGGTTTCATTTGCTTAGGAGAGTAAGAAATTTTTGGATTATTTGTGCAAGTAATTTAGCTTTAGCTATAGCGATTTAATGTGCTTTTGAGTGGAAATTGCTATTTGCAACTCATTTCCTCATTCTGTTTGCTTGTAACGTTTTTACCAGCCTAATATGTAATTAGAATAATTTAGAAAATTGAGTAAGTTTTCAGACTCAGTCACAGTGAACTAATTACAGCCTTTGCATTGAGATAAGAGTTGTGTGTCCTGTGTTTTTGTACCTCATTCTTCTATAAATTATTTTTTGTTATACATGTTAATCAGAGACTTAACTGACTTTATTTTATATGTTTTTTCATTTTTACTTAGCTAGTCTTCTCAATGTACAGGATCTTTGGCACTCATTTATCAGTTTAGTTTTCCACCACACTAATCAGTTTAGTTTTCATCTACTTTCATTCTTCCTGTAAATTTCTCTCCTTTCAAAATCTAGTTTATGACATTGTCATTGGAATGTGCATACACATGATTGGAAAACCACTGGGTCTTATAAAACCATCCTAGTTAAAATTTTGTCTAGAAAGTTCATTTTGTCATGTTCTCTTTAAGTTAGTGGTAACTTTGAGATTTAGTAGACGTGTTTTAAAATCCTCAAACTCTTATGCAAAATTTTGGCTTCATAGTTTTAGGAAACAATTAGCAAAGCAGTTTTGTCAGTCTTCGAGGGCATGTATGCCATCAGAACTTAATAACCAAAGTTCAAAACAAAAGCTTCGTTAGCCACCTTTTGATTGTTTATTTCTCATCACTCTTACCATTTTCTCTCCAATGTGCCTTAATTTTCAGTATTTTCTTTTTAACCTCATGTGATTTTTATGTACGTTCTTCTCTTGCCTCTTAAGTTGAGTTTAGATATGGAAATAGAAATCCTGTTAGTGCTTATAATCCCCCTCTCTCTTTTAGGTCCCAGAGTCGGGGAGTAACACAAATCTTGACGGTTTGGGGTTTTTGTTCACTGCCATGATCTAGTCTCTTCATTCTCAAATTCACATATAGACTCCCTAGGTTTGCCAGTCTGCCAGTCCCAGCAGATGTTTGGATTTGGTGTTTGAATAGATCATTGCTGTTCTGAACTGCTTGAACATACTTCATGGTTCTAGTCTGTGTTGTTTTTGGTACTTAGAATATTCCTTTCTCTTTACTGTAATTAAAAGATGTTTTCCCATTCCATGAAATCTGCTGAGTTATTTTTCTAGTTTGATACTTAAGAATGAGTTATGAGTCTTCATAGCAAATTGGGACATGTAGCATTTAGAGTGGTGTTTCCTATATTTGTGTATTTTGAGATTTGCTATCCAGTACCTTTTCTAATTATTGAAAAACCATTAGGAGACAGGAATGAAATACATAATGCATTAAGTGACTTTTCTAAAAACAAAAAATGTCCACTACTCTTTTGCTTACATAGCTTGTATTGGTTTTTGTGTTTACTCTATTTCTTTCAACAGCCTTTAGGAACTTCCGGATACGTTGTGCTGTGTATTAAGGTTGTGTAAGTTTTCATAAACAAAAGCTTTTGAATTTGCATTCCTGCCACTTAATGACTGGCACTGCTTGCTGTGCCTTGCTGTAATTGTGTTGGTTCAGCACTGTGGGAGCTTTCTGTTTTCCTTTGAAAACTATTTCATTGTGAGGAAAAGCTTCAGAAACAAGGGCTGTAGGCACCTTTTGAATTTAATGTCCTTAGAGTTGCTTCTCTTTTTAATGCTTTACATAGGTGAAAGATATGATCCTGAGCCCAAATCAAAATGGGATGAGGAGTGGGATAAAAACAAGAGTGCTTTTCCATTCAGTGATAAATTAGGTGAACTGAGTGATAAAATTGGAAGCACAATTGATGACACCATCAGCAAGTTCCGGAGGAAAGACAGAGAAGACTCTCCAGAAAGATGCAGGTATTAACACTTCACCTCTTGTGTCTCTTGGAAAGGGTGCTAAATTTATGCACTGGGTTTTTGGGTTATTTGTTTTGGGTATTAGCATTATGAAATTCAGCTGTTTTCTTTTTAATAGATTTTATTTTATAGAACAGTTTCATTCACAAAAAAATAGTGCATAAAGAGTTGCAGTATAACCCTCCCTCTCCATCCTGTACACACACACACACCATTTATCTTGTTATTAATGTTGTGCATTATTAGTAAGGTACATGTATTAATAGTAACCAATATTGATATATTATTATTAGCAAAAATCTGTTGTTTGCATATAGGGTTTATGGTGTTGTACAGTTGACAGATGCATGATATCCTCCATTAACAGAACCATACAGAATAGTTTCATTGCCATAAAAATGCCCTGTGCAAAAATATGGAACAGTTCATGAATTTGCTTGTCATTCTTACACAGGGACCATGCTGATTTCTCTGTTTCAGTTTTAGTATATTTGCTACTGATGTGAATAATGTGCAACTGTTTAAGATACTAGGTCAAACATTTGCAATTAGTATAGATACACTTTCCATGTTATCTGTGTCCATTTATTTCTAAAGTTAATACCATTTCCTGTACATACTTATTCAAGCTATTTATTGGATTTTTTTTTTTCCTTGTAAGAACTTTTGCATTTGGGCGTCAGGTGATCCAGGGATCCTAAGGTATTGCTGAGGGGTAATGAACTTTAAAAGGGCAGGATATAAGCACTTACTCTGCAAAGCAAGTTTTACAAGATCTTTGTCATTTGTGCCTCACAGAATGTGTATTAGATGGGCTTGATCAGGGATTTTACCCTTGTTTTTCTAGAGGTAAAACCTGAAGCCTAGTCAGGCTGTGTGGAACTTGCCCAAAGTAATACATTTAGTGATAGAAATGAGCCTTCCGGTGAGTTCTTGAAATTCAGTACCATCTCATTTTTTTCGTAGAATCCTAATAGTTCAGATTTAAGGTCATTAAAACGGAAGAAAAAATTAATTTTGAAACTGTTCTGATTCTGAAATATTTTTGAATCTTTTCAGTGTGTTTCCGTACTTGTTAAATCCTTGGAATTTCTGTCTTTTTTGAGGCTTTTTCTGGAATATGATCTTTGAAGACACAGAACTTATTTTCGATACTTGCAATACATCTGTTTTACAACTACAGTTCTAGCTCCTTTGTACTGAAAGTGTACGCATATGGCAAAAATAAATACTAAACTCTAGTAAAAGGTGCCACTTCAGTTACTCTATGCTAATTTTTTTCCTCCCATTAATGTTCTTATGGCCTATGTGTTTATAGTTTTGGTTTGGTTTAGAAAACATAGCGACCATATATTGGGTTACCATTTCCTGAAGAAGTGTGGGAATCAGGTAGGTAGGCTGGTTAGAAATCTAACTATGTACATTCTTGTATTGTTACTTTCTCTTCTTTGCCCTTCCACCCACAGTCTTTCTCTCCTTGGTCTTCCTATTTCCCCCCGCCCCCATGGTTGCCTCTAGAGTTCTGATTAAAGAGACTATTAACATTTAAATGAGTGAAAAATGTGGCTTGTATTATATAACTTAATAACTAAAGGGCACTCCATGTGAGAAAAGAGATTTTTAGATGTTGTGTGTGACTTCTCTGGCATGTTGCCAGAATTTCATACTTATTTACTCATTATTAGACTCAGGAATTCTTGAACATTGATCAGGTATGAGCCTTCCATTTCACTGTCTGCTAGTCAGGTTTATATTCTCAACTTTT